CTCTCTCTCTCTCTCTCTCTCTCTCTCTCTCTCTCTCTCTGTTTTTTTTTTCTTTATAAAAGTTGCTGTAGTAATGCCCATTGCCTGAAAGCTGATTTTTCTAAAACTAGATTGATGCTGATACTACTGTAGTGGGGGAACAAGGCGAGGTAGATTTTAAAGAAGAGGCAAAGTTTGCACAGCACATGAAAATGGGTGAAGCAGTGAGTAAATTTGCAAAGTCAAAAACTATTACACAGCAAAGGCAGTATCTCCCCATATATTCAGTGCGGGATGAGTTATTGCAGGTTAGACTTTTAATTTTCCGATATATTGTGGTTAGTTTTGCATAATATTTCGTAGCCCTGTAAGAGTCTAGGTTATGTATGTTTTTAGCCATAGGTATTCTTTTAGTGCTGGTATTGGGTAATGAGGCATGGGGATAATATTGGAATCAGGACCCAAACTTTGACCAGGGTTGTAGTTTCTTTGCTTACTTGAACAAATATAAGCTGGGGAAGTATAAATTGTTGCAATTATGGCTTTGTCGGGCTCTCTAATAGTTGGGATGTGCTATTATAGGCCAGTTTGTAAGGACAATACTACATTTTACTATTGCTTTTGTTTTCGATAGAATCTAACAGAAGATTCCGTTTAATACAAACATAGGCCAACCATTATTAGATAAGTGGATTATGAGAATATTAAGAACATGAGATGAGAAAACTTTGGTCTTTGAGTTAGCTAACGAAACCATCTGAATCTCTGCTCTATTTGATGGAAAAGCTTCTTGCAAAGATGAGAGTAATCTGGATTGAATCACTTAAGTTTCACTTAATAAAAGAAAGACTTATTTTTCCTTGCACAACAATCGGTACTAAATTTATGAGGATTAGCTTTTGATTTTATATCTCTTGGCGATGCAATATACTTATCATACTAATGAGGGTATACTTTGACATTGTCGATTGATGAAGAATGCAATCCTGCTAACATTACCTTTAACTAGTCTGTTGTTGAATGATAGAGATAAGAGATGGATATCAATTTTAGCTGGAATATTGTTTGCGAAATTAATATTGGTTACATTTCCTTTTCTCTTTCTTGGTTGTGCTGGCATGTTGGTTTTTCGAGAGGGTGAGGTGGTCATTGTGGGAAATGGGCCTTTGTTCACTTTGTTAAAGAGAATGGTATCACTAACAGTTTTCTTTCTGTGAAGATATTCATCAGCTTACTGTGAATGTTGTATGGCCCAAAAAAATTGCTTTCAAATCGCAATTTTTGTTGCATTCTTGGTAGATAAAGCCCACTATGTTTTAGCCTTTATAACATATTTGCCCAAGAGAGGCATTGTGGGGACAATCACATGTTCTACTGCTTTCTGTTTGCATCCTTAGATTTCCTTCGCTTGTCTAGAGGCCTTCTTCCTATTCCAATATGGTTTACAAATGTCATGACTTCTTTTGGGTTTTTGTTGTAACCTTGCTTTTATTGTGTCTATATATTTTATCACATAGGTTATCCGTGAGAATCAGGTGGTGGTTGTTGTGGGAGAGACTGGTTCAGGGAAAACAACTCAACTAACACAGGTGTTCTTCATGATCAATGTCATTAATTTTTCTGAAAATCTGTTGTTAGTTATCTATGGGCAAAGTGAATAAATTATGACCTCATTCTTTTTATATACTACTCATGACAGTATCTGCATGAAGATGGCTACACTGTGAATGGCATAGTTGGTTGTACCCAACCAAGGCGTGTTGCAGCGATGAGTGTTGCAAAGAGAGTGAGTGAAGAGATGGAAACTGACTTAGGTGAAAAAGTGGGGTATGCCATTCGTTTTGAGGATGTGACTGGGCCAAACACAGTAATCAAGGTGAGACTGTTTTCGATTGTCGAGAGCAAATTCTTTAGGATACTATTTTTTTAATGCTGATTTTTCTGAAGTAGTGTTGTTGCATTTAGTCTGGAACATATCTCAAATTTTGTTGGTTCCCTGATAAATTATAATCTATGCCTTTTCGTTTTGGTTTTATGCTCCGTCATTTATAATTGTTTTTGGTGGTCACTACTGTGTTGCAGTACATGACAGATGGAGTGCTTTTCCATGAAACACTGAAAGATTCCGACCTTGAAAAGTACCAGTATGATAATGTCTTCTCTACTATGATATATTACTTCTCGTTAAACTGGGTTGGAGTGGATTTGTATATGCATGGAGAATAACCTACACAGACTCAGGTTCTTCAAGCAGAGCCTTACATTTTGTTATTTTTACTTGTTTCAGGGTTGTCGTGATGGATGAAGCACACGAGAGATCACTGAACACTGATGTTCTCTTTGGGATATTGAAAAAGGTGGTAGCTCGACGTCGCGATTTTAAGCTCATTGTAACATCTGCTACTCTGAATGCACAAAAATTCTCGAACTTCTTTGGCAGGTAATCATCACATTTGTCAGAAGCTTATGCAATGCGAATGTTGATGCAGGACTAAATTAATTTATATTGTTTACAGCGTACCTATTTTTCACATACCTGGAAGGACATTTCCTGTTAACATCCTGTGGAGTAAAACCCCATGTGAAGATTATGTCGAAGCTGCAGTGAAGCAGGCTATGGCTATCCATATTAGCAGTCCTCCGGGCGACATTCTCATTTTCATGACTGGCCAAGGTGAAATTGAAGCAGCATGCTATGCTCTAGCGGAGCGCGTGGAACAGCTTGTATCCTCCACAAAGCAAGGTATTGGTAAGCTCTTGATTCTTCCCATATACTCCCAACTGCCGGCTGATTTGCAAGCAAAGATATTCCAAAAGGCTGAAGAGGGGGCTCGCAAGTGCATCGTGGCCACCAACATTGCGGAGACTTCTTTGACATTAGATGGAATATATTACGTCATTGACACAGGCTATGCTAAAATGAAAGTCTACAATCCCAAAATGGGTATGGATGCACTCCAAGTTTTCCCAGTCAGCCGTGCTGCTGCAGACCAGCGTGCTGGTCGTGCAGGCAGAACAGGACCGGGTACATGTTATCGACTTTACACGGAGAGTTCATATTTGGATGAAATGCTCCCCAGTCCCGTGCCAGAAATCCAGAGGACCAACCTTGGGTACGTGGTCTTATTGCTCAAGTCCCTTAAAGTGGAGAACCTGCTAGATTTTGGTTTTATGGACCCACCTCCACAGGATAACATTCTCAATTCTATGTACCAATTGTGGGTCTTAGGCGCACTTAACAATGTTGGAGGCTTAACGGAGCTTGGTTGGAAAATGGTGGAATTCCCATTGGATCCTCCTCTTGCAAAGATGCTCTTGATGGGCGATCAGTTAGGTTGCCTAGATGAGGTTTTGACCATTGTCTCGATGCTCTCGGTGCCGTCTGTATTTTTCCGGCCAAAAGATAGAGCAGAGGAGAGCGATGCTGCAAGGGAGAAATTTTTTGTTCCGGAATCTGACCACTTAACACTGTATAATGTCTATGAGCAGTGGAAAAGTAAACAGTACAGAGGGGATTGGTGTAATGATCACTTTTTGCATGTCAAGGGCTTGCGGAAGGCTCGAGAAGTGAGGTCTCAACTGCTGGATATTCTCAAGATATTGCGAATCCCATTAACTTCAAGTAGGCCCAACACGGATGGCGTTAGGAAGGCCATCTGTTCTGCATACTTCCACAATGCAGCGAGACTGAAGGGCGTCGGTGAATACGTGAATTGTCGGACTGGGATGCCCTGCCATTTGCACCCGAGCAGCGCTCTCTATGGCATGGGACACACGCCCGAGTACGTGGTCTACCACGAGCTGATTCTGACAGCGAAAGAGTACATGCAATGTGCCACCGCTGTGGAGCCGCAGTGGTTGGCCGAACTGGGTCCCATGTTTTTCTCCGTTAAGGACTCGGATACGTCTCTGCTGGAGGACAAGAAGAAGCATAAGGAAGAGAAGACGGCCATGGAAGAAGAAATGGAGAACCTGAAGAGATCGCAGGCGGATGCGGAGATAGAGATTAAGGCGAAAGAGAGGGAGAAGAGGGCGAAGCAACAACAGCGAGTCTCGTTGCCTGGGTTGAAGCAGGGTACTTCTACTTACCTCAGACCAAAGAAATTTGGTCTATAACTGTGCATAGCGTTGTATCTTTAGTATTATAGTGTAACATGTAATTGTTAGCGGAAAAGCCAATAATTTGGTGGATACCTTCACAAAAAAAGAGCCCGCACTCTCATTTTCGATACTGTCAACCCTGTTCACTAGTGTAAGTTTTTTATTTTTGAGCAAGGAAAATGACACGCAGTCGAAAATGATGACCTGAAACACTGATCTGATAAGAGCAGTTTCACAAGTTTGGTTAATCACGGACCACCTCATCACTGCAAAGAACTCAATAGGAGGGAGAAGTTGTATCAAGAATTCAAACTAAGCAATCCCACTCGTTCAGTTATTATACTGGCATACCTCTAAATTTACCGAGGTTAGTTCCTTACTTAGTCAATATAACTCTAATTCATTGACATATAAGTGACTCTCTTTCCACGAGGCTAACTGCATATTGAGCACGAGAAAACTTCTGCTCATTGAGGATAATTGCTAGCACTTTGTTTACATTGCTCTTCGAATACATGATCTGCTCAAAGCTGCTCAAAACAACATTAAGATGCTGAAAAGCAAAATCCCTCCCTCCCTCGCATCCTCGAAACTGTGAACCTGCTATTTACATGCATAAACTTCATATCTGAAGATGCCTAGAAGAACATGATCCCACCGCATATAGCGCAGAGAGCGAGGATGTTGCAACTTCCACTTCCTGATAGACCAGTCATACCTTCACACATGCATTGACTTCGAAATTGTGAACCTGCTATTTACATGCATAAACTTCATATCTTAAGTTGCCTAGAAGAACATGATCTCACCGCATTTAGCGCAGAGAGCGAGGATGTTGCATCTTCCTGATAGACCAGTCATACCTTCACACATGCATTGACAGTTCAAAGTATCAGGAAACTTCATAGAGAACAAGTACATATCAAAGATGCAGTCCTTAAAAACATTCAGAAATGTGATCCAAGCATGACAATCAGAAGAACAAGCCACAGTCAAAAGAAACAATCTGGTCTCGGGACCTGATTTAAAAAAAGTGCAAGTTAACCAAGTGTATACAGGACGGAGATGGTACATTCCAAACTTCGTCGGAACTCTTGGGTTCGAGTAGTTAAAAGCTTCATGCTTTTATTGTCACACTGCACAAGCACAAACCCGATGGCTTTATCTCAGAAGTCTGCCATTCAGAACCCGGGGCAGCATTGGGATTGTATAACAATGTACAGTACTCTGGATCCTCTTCAAGTGAAAATAGCAGGAGCTTCCCCTCCAATATACCGAATCGAAACCCTATACTTGAGCTCCCTGTAAGAGGAACGGGCACCATCCTCCAGGAATTATCTTCTGGATTATATATGGCAAGCTTCCTCTGATTCTTCCATTCCATACAAAAGAGCTTCTTTCCAAGCACGGCATGGGCAGTGACCATGACGCATCCATTCTTCATCTCACACCAGGTTTGCCGCTCGGGATTGTATATGTCAACGAACCTTGAGTTCCCAATGGTGAAGCTTGAGCGTCCACCCATCACATAGAGCTTCCCTTCGAAGCTGCATGCAAAGCATCCCCACCTTGGTCGCCTAAGAGACTCGATGAGAGTCCACTTGTCAGAATCAGGGTCGTATACTTCAGCGCTGGAGAGACTTTCACCTTCAGTTCCATAGCCTCCAACCACATATACCAGTCCATTGACTTCTGAGCAAGCGAAGTCATAGCGAGCCACATTCATGCTTGCTAGTTTGCTCCAACTGCAATGAAATCCCACGATAAAAAAAGTGCAGGCATGCAGCAATAGATCTCTCCTAAAGTGATCTTTTATAGTTTGGTGCGTGCAAGCTGAAAGGTTATAGTAAAGCAAATAGGGAATATAAAAGGGGCAAAGAACGCATAAGAGAATCGGATTGGCAGACCCATGTTCATGTGGACTAGTCATGTTACCACAGTCTCGGTACAGCAGAAGTATTTGTCACGTTCAGGTTAGAAAACAAGGATGCATCTTGAAACAATTTGTGATCCAGAAAACAACTTGATTTAGCAGGTCATCAAGAGAAACTCCAGGTCCATAAGCGTGCAATTTCCAGAATAATGCATAAACCTGAATCTCTAACCTTCAAATGTTCAGTTATCCGTCCCATTTTCAGGGCATCTGACAGCATGATCAAAGAATAGCAATGCTTCAGGATGGAAATCCAATGCCTAGCAGGAACTCTATCATCTAGGAGGCAAAGCTTGATGTGTCATAAGAGAAAGTGAAGAATGCCATTTACTTTCCAGGTGAATGAGATACCCGAAAACTTGACCAAGATAAATACATAAATAAGACACAAAAATCAGAGTAAACGAGTCGCCCCTTCCCACCCTTACTTGCTTATCAAAAACTAGAGTATATACCTGTTGAGGCAAGAATCATACTGGTAACCTTCTGCAGAGGCAGAGCATGTTCCATCTACCAATGAGTAACCAGCCATGACAAGTAGCTTTCCATTAAGAACCACCACTCCAAACCCGGCTTTCACTGGACCAGGCATCAGTGGAAGTTGCCGGTGCTTATGTCCCAAACAGTCCAAGACTTCCCAGTGGCTTCCCTTCCCTTCAGCATCCATAGTTAACACATACAGCCACTCCTCAACAACCCCAGCTAATTTTCGCACGGTAAGGAATTCTGTGCTTTGAAGCACTGACCTCCACTTCTTGCAGACAGCACCCATTGATGGAAAGTTGCAACGAGGAACAATTGCAAGGCAATGCTTAGCCACATCATCAGGCAGTCCAGGAAGAATGGGGCTGCCAAAATCATCAGCAATTGGAGTTGCTACAGGAAGTTTACTTTTCGAACGAACTGGAGTGCTTTGGTGGACTGAATTGGAGAAACACATGGCCTGTTCAGTTAATCTTTTCTTCTCACTCACAAAACCGGGCATTTCTCAAGATGACGATGCACTTTTGAAAAGACCGAATGGATCTCGTATCAATGGATTGACCTCCCTAAGGACGAGCAAACTCGAAAGGAAGGCTTCTAATTAGAGAAATTCATGGTAACCTTCAGCTATAGGAATTTTACAGGACCAAGGCATGAAAGATGTGGCTGAACGGATTGCTAATGCAGCATATGCTGAGGTCTTTCGGAGCTTTGTCCAATCTGACTCAAATTCCATACCAGAACTTTTGCTTTTAGAGAATTTTGTTCTTGATGATTGAGGCAGAGTTTTTTCCAGGCTCCCAAAGTTGATTCTCCCTCCACACATTTCCCTAGTAACTAGATAACAAGTAGACTGTCAGAGCTGACTAGGAGAAATTTCTAGAAGTTAGTTCTCAAGAAGAAATAGCAAGCATAAACATCATACCAGTCAAAGTGATAAAACTGAAAAGCTTCTTCAGCCCCCTCTTACTTCCATCTTCCTGGAGAGAGTGGACTGCCTATAGGCAACAAACAAATTTGAACTAATAAATCAGCACAAATAGAGATGAGTTAAGATATATAAATATGCTTCTTCGAGCAGAAGGATCCTAAGCAGTTGATGTCAATGCCTCAATCAGTAAAAACAACACAGCATAGGAATTAGAGATTTGTGAAAGTCCACAACACAAGCACAATTGAAGACAAAGGGGAGGGGGTGTCTGAACAATCACAAAATTCCTAAATCAAAATCTCGAAGCGACAGATTCATGATCCAACCTGGGAAAAAAAGTTCAGAGACTCAATGGGAATGGAAAGATTCGATACAAAATAAAATTTAAAAAATGAACTGAATTTTTCTTCCCTGTCCTGGTAAAGAACTTACCAACATATCAATGACCTCAAGTCATGCAGAGAAAGTTAATTATTTTTACCACCTAAAACAGGGAAGCAAATCTACGACAACGTGGCTTACCAAAAGTTACCAAAAGTAAAGTACACATTACAAGATCTTCTCAACCTGACCCCTTTTCTTAAGCCAAACTCCTTGCATTATTAAATGACACGACATTCTCAACTTCACCAACCCTCTACCCACCTACCTACCACACAAGCCTAACATTTGAGAGATTCATACACCATTTCCCAGTTTTTTTTCTCCATTTCCCTTCATTAACGGCTTTGTGTAGTAATTCTCTGTTATAAACTTGTGGTGGAAAAGTTATTCGAGATGGTTATCGGCCCTATGTTCTGTAAATAATTTCTAACGAAAGTCCGAACACTCTAGCAAGATTGCAGTATAAGCAATCAGACGATCAGCATCGAGAAAAAAAGGCAAAAAGCCGAGCAAGGAAAAATTTACCAAGAACGAAAACACAAAACATGGATTTGCGAAAGTTCAACTGCTGAATCGCTTTTCAATGGTATGCTCGGGTTATTTTGGCTACTCAAAATCGTCCGGTCAGAGGTTTCCTCCGCACAGATCCAAGCGTGGAAACCTCGAAACACTTCCAGATCTCGCGTGCGTGTGTGTAGTAATCAAACACGTTCGGTGCAGATGAAACCGCACGAAAACACATATCATGTGTCACGGAACAATCGAAATTAAGCCAGCGAGAATCAAGAATAGCGCTCGACTCACGAGGACGAGCAACAGAAGACGAAATTCCAGCTCGTTTGAGCTCGCATCAACACATTCAACTGTAACTTAAGCAAAACCAAACACTACTACTTCACGCAATCGGATCTAGAGCACTAGGAACAGGCAACACACCAAGCACCGACCGCATCGCTGCGGAACACTCCCACCATTCGCCAGTCCCAATCCGGCGACGGAATGCCGAGAACTCGAAGCCGACGTCGACGAGAAGAGCCGTCCCGAACGTGAGATCTGATCGAAACGGGACAGGGATTACCTGCGAAATCGGAGACGAATCAGCTGCAGCTGGAGCGAGAGCGAGTCGCGAGTCGCGCGTGTGAAGACGGAGAGAGAGAGAGAGAGAGAGAGAGAGAAGGATGGATGGATGGATGGATAGGATAGGAGGAACTGGTGAGCTGCAGACTTGGAATCTCCAGAGGGATTTTAAAGGCAAAAAGGGGAAAGGGAAAAATGGTTAAAAATGATAATATCACAGAAGAGAGAGAGAGAGAGAGGATAATGCTGACAGAGAGCGACAACGTCGGACAGAGACATGAGATCTTCCCCCGGGAAAAATCGAATTCGGATAATTAATAATATCTGTTCTCTGTCTGAACGATAATTATTTATCGTTCTTTTTGGTCGGAAATAATTATTTGCCGTTGAAAATTACCGAATTTTTTGTATTTTATTTTTCTGTAGGTTTTTTTTTTCTCTCTTTATTGTGGCGGAAATTTTTATTGCCGCATTTTGACGAATGGGACTATAGTGCGGAGAGTGACTAATCCGGCCGCCCACGTCATAAACTAATTTTTTTTTTCCATTTCACGCGGTCTGCTGTTGGTTCTAAATTAATAGAAATAGCTTTTGTTTTTCTTCGGGGACGTTAGTAGCAAAGAGGGAAAATATTCTTAATTTTAAAGATTATAAATTATTTTCAAAAAATTACGCATCCCATATACTTTATCTTTTCGATGATTTCGAACATTCCATGCTAAGCCACGATATTTACAAATCAAACAGTCGCTCCAAACATAGGTTAATAAGATGATTAGGGTGATGTAGATTTTTTTTCTTTCAATTAAAATAGCATTTTTTTCCTGTTATTTTGTGGTTAAGCCATATTTTAAGTTTTATATTTGCGGTTTTATTATGGCGCCGTTTCCAGCCCAAGAAAGATGGGTCATCCCCGTTGAGATTAAGATTCTTCGTTAAACCAAAATTTGCCAAAGGCTTCCTGTGACGACTTACTTGAGTTACACTCTACTGAATTTTTCGATTGATCTTCTTAATCCTTTCCCTCTCCTACCATAAGCAACCGTCATATAACAACGGAAGGTCTATTCGAACGTAAACAACACATTAATGTACTTTCTCTTTTTAAGCATATGAGTTTGGTGGTATTAGTAGTTAGCTTCTCCATATTAGGCATTTCTAACTCGATCCTAGATAATTGCATTAAGTATGGATAAAATTTGTAACCTTACACTTTTGCCGGAATAAAATTTCGATCGTTGTATTAGTCAACCAGCACGTGTGAATATGACTAACGATGTTTTCGTAAGTACAAACGATGAATTATGGGGCACACCTAACATTCTTTAACAAAGCTAGACAAGACAACAAACTTCCTCCACCCCCCAAAATCAACAAAAGAATGAATACATTTTTAGCTGTGGTGCCAGATTCCGCGAGCCTGCGATCTACAATCTTCCCCCCATTATTCTATTCCCAAACCAATGGCCACCCGACACGTGGCAGGGCCCCCTTAGGTCACCCAACTCCAAATTCTTGCTGCTACGTCGTCTTGTCTCCATCTAAACGTTCATCTTTCAATCGACGCTCGACGTTGTCTTGTGGGTGGGGCGGTCGGCGAAGAGATTCTTGATTGGAACGTGTCTGGTTCAAATGTCGATGGATGTGGACGAACGTGATCGAATGCGGCTCGGTACACCACAGAAAACCGTGTGTGTGGCCTGTTCATTCATCGGTCGTGCATCATGGTGGTCGTGCGCGCACCCTCCACCCCCCTTAGATCCTATGGTATCGGATTCTCGCAAGGTGTTGTTATATGGTGCAGTCGCTATTAAGGTTGTCCCACATCGATTGTGAAATGGACTGGTGGTTAATTTATAAGTGTAAAAGAAAGTCTCACCCTTTGAATTAGCTTTTGGGGTAAGAGAGATCCAAGACCATCTAACAGTCATGAATCTTTAAAAGAGTGACCTTTGGTGTACCAAGGCTATAATCCATTAAGGATCGACTGTGTCTCGAGTCACTCGCTCGCTTACTTGGTTGAGATCAAAACTAATTCATTCATGGGGAGACTAATATGAATCATAGGAATTTGTCTTTTTGTAAGGTGTTGATTGAGCGATTCAACACTTGACCGTAGGACTCGTGATCGAATTACAATGCCTTTCACTCAGAGTAATCTTGGAGTGATTGTCGACCACCATGTCGATTGAGCTTTCTCAGTTAACGTGAACATGAGATTAATCTATGTTTACAAGGACTAGAAGCCAAAGATTTGAACATCTCATATATTTAGAAAGGAAAACAAAGTCGAGGGTGTGCACACATTGAATATTATTATTATTGCCGAAAAATTTATTGACACTAATCCACCTCTTATTGAAGTAGCAACTATAACCCGACCATATCTTTAAGTTTTAAATAGAATATCATATCCATAGTTTAATTGATCTCAAAAGTTTTGCACCCACAACAACCGAAACGATGCATGCAATTATTAATGAAGTATTACGATACAAAAAATACTTTCACATGCAATTTGAGCTTACCATTTTTATATGGCTTTAGCTTCAAATCCTTATCGAGGGGCAATCATTTTAATGGTCATAATCTTTCATTGTTTTTTCCCTTCTTTTTAACGGATATAGATCTTCTCTCCCGCACGATACCCATCTTGGCACTTCAGTAAATATCAAATAACAATAAAAACCTCATTTTCATAAATCAATGTTTAAGATTTATTGCAACATCAAGAGAAGAACGTGCTAGATAGATAATTTCGTTATCAAGAGCATTGTCAACAAATCTCCAGAAGACATTGACATTCTGAAAATTACAAAACCAAAAAAAAAAAACCAAACATAGTTTTACCTACATTGGTAAGATAAATTCCATTCTCAAAGTATCATTATACACCAATCTTGATAAGTGCCTTTCGGAACTCTTTTTGACATTTTTCTTATTTCAATAGGGCCTTGGTAATTTTGTACGGTGGAGAAATTTGGTGGGGAGTGGGACACCACCGAAAACGATGCCTGCGGCGGAGGGGTGAAATCCGGGCCGTCCACGAAGAATCCGTGGGCGGGAGAGAAATGGACGGTGGACGTAGCTACACGCACATTGCGCCCGCCATTCGAGGTCATCAATTCGATGGGTGGCGATTAGGCCTTAAAGAGATATCAAAAAAATTTATTATTAAAGTGACTCCAATTTTAATAATGTGGTAAGATAGTTGTATTATTAAAAGCACAGGTCATCGAATAATGTGATGACGCGTTGTTCAGAGCTTGGCTGTGTAGAAAGTCAATTCATCTGGTGCATGAATATGGTCAGTCGTTCTGACATCCATTCAAATCATGGCTGCTCACGAAATTTTTTAAAAAAAGAAGATAATATTTCTTTTAATATCTTCGAATTTATTTTTTTTGCAAATAGTAAATGTATAACATATGGAAATCCAACTGCTATTGTGGAAATAGCATGTCTTGACTTTAATTCTTCGAACAATCTCCACACCCTTCTTTTTTGTTGCCAAAAAGCCCCATTTTTATGTTAAATGACTATAATATTCTTCAACTCTAAGAATATGTGTTAGTGTTTACTAATATTTCTTGGGCAAATAAACGATCCGTGAGTTGTAACTTTCCTATTTAATAGTTACTTAAACTCGATTATGTATTTGTTTTAATTTTAATTCCTTTGTTCCTTCCGATGTTTTTTAACATAAAGACAGAAAAAGATTTTAAAAAGAAAGAAAGATCAAGACTAAACTTTTTTTCATTATTCAACCAGGAAGAAAGTCATCCATATTGCTCGTGAACCATGTCTCAAAATTAGATTGCGCAATGAAATTAAAAAAGTGAAACATTTCTTATAGTTCTTCTGCAGTTGACTGCACCTGTGAGGAGACGAGGACAGCATTTTCCACGCCATACTTCCCAAATCAAGAATATTTCTACTTTCCAGAATAATACGAAACATTATCTTTGATTGCCCCACATGATGATAAATCACGAGTTAAAAAATAATCACCGTTAGTTTTAGGCTTATAACAAAGATAGGTGATACGCCCTCTTTTGTTAATTTTTGTTCCATCGAGTTCTGTGACTTGCTCATCTAAAAATTCCAGCCTATCATCGTGTAGAAATGGTGCGATTTTTCTTTGCAATCATGAAGATTTGGATAGGTGTAGACGAGATTAGTACTCCGTGACATCGAAACCAATCAGATTCATTAATATGATGACCATTGCTAGGTTTTTATTTTGTTAGTCTATGAATGGCTATGATCATTGCTATAGGTAGGTGAAGCTGACTTGATGAGAAAAAGAGGATGAGGAAGGGTAACAAAAGAAAGAGAGAGAATACGTAAAAGGTATGGGAAATGGGGTAAGGATTTCATCATTTGCAACTGGTGGGAAGCCGGAAATGGGGTAAGGACTCTGGTGGGAAGCCGACTCTAATGACTAACTTGTGGGATGCTGACTCTAAAAACTAATGAGTGCCTTCTCCTTAGGGGTCAATTTAATAAGCAGTGTGGGCCGACGACGGTTCATGATGTGCATCTACACATATCGGACAAATATTGAGTACAATAGTTTTGCCAAGTCAGTGGTAAGTCACTTCATTCATCTATTGCCACGTGTCTAAGTGAGACCCATTTTTCAGGATTTTTTAAATGTATCTCATTCTTTGTTTCTCTTTGAATCGCAAATGTGAATGATCATGCTTTCTCTCTCTTATTAGATTTGGTAATCATTGGCTAATCAATATTATTGATACCATTGTAGCTTGTTCACATATTTTGTCATATTGCATCAAAGGCTTTGAAATACTGCGGTGATCTTCTCTGTTGTTTAAGGTTTACATTGTACAAATACTCTTGAAGATTGCTGAAGGCTGTCTCCGTTTGTGCATTTGTGGTTTTTTTTTTTTTGAAGATTGCTAGAGGCCGTCTCCGTTTGTGCATTTGTGGTTTCGTTAGCAATGAATCGCAAGAGACTCTTAATATCTCCATTTGTGCATTTTCGGATTTATTTACACCGATACACGGTTCCTTCCAAATAATGGACATGATAGGATACGTAAATATTAGCTTTATTATCCATATTTCATATCTCATCCTATTAAGTCTTTAACCTAGTTAGAAATTCAAACGACTAAGCGCATTCTTAAAAACTCGATCGAGATAAGATCGATGCTTTTGAGCCAAACCAAGTTTAGGGATCTCCAACTTAACTAGATCTCAAACCAAGCGCTTTTCCTAGCCGACGTGCATTGCCATCAATTAGAAACAGACAAACATAGTAGATGGTCGAATATCGAAGAGTGGGTATCAATATGAATCTGGCCGCATGCACTCTTTGGAGAGCCATCTGTACTATGAAATGATTATTGCGCCTTGGCCTTTCAAAATTTATGTAATGATCTATCGCATTTGGGGGTCCGGTTTAATTTAGACTTAGCGCATGTTATTAGATCTACAGATTCTACCCCCTTAATTTCTCGATCCAAGGACGGTTCAGCTGGAACCGGACACTAAATAAACCGGTTCAGCTGGACGAGGAAAACGGAGAGACTGCTAGAATCAGCTACAGGGCCATCTGCAAAGAAACCGGTGGACACGCGCTTGGGACTCGAGTAGAAACGAACACATAAATCGACCGATGAAATCCCACTTTTGCCCCTCCGCCCCTTCCCTGCGTTGCCAATTCTGAGAAACTTGAGAGCTCGAGTCGATGCTTATCCAAACTCCCGTCTTCAATCTTTCGTCTTCCTCTCGGTCTCAGTGAACTGAGAGCATGCCTATCGCTTCCATCTCCGTCCTCCGCCACCGCGCCGCCGCCTCCCTCCTCCACCTCCGCCACCTCCCCTTCCCCGCCGCCGCCGCCGCCGCCGCCAGGCACCGGAACCCCAGCAACGTCTCCCGGAAGCTCCAGGGACCCAGCAAGAACTTCCTCAGGGCCAAGCAGCGCACCGTCCGGGAGTTCTCCTCCCTCTCGCCGGTCCTCTCCCCCGGCGACGAGCCTCCGCTCTCCGACTCCCAGGCGATCGGCACGGTCGCGGCGGCCCAGGCCAACTTCATGCGCGTGATAGTGCAGTCCTTGCCTCCGATCGAGGAGGGCGCTGGGGGGATCGGGGTGGAGTTGCTGTGCGTGGTGAAGGCGGTGCTGAAGAAGATAAAGAGGAGGGTGCTGGTGGGGGACAAGGTGTTGGTGGGGTCGATCGACTGGGTGGATCGGAGAGGCATGATCGAGAACGTGTTCCAGAGGAGGACCCAGGTTGTGGACCCTCCGGTCGCGAATGTGGACCGCTTGCTCGTGCTTTTCTCCATGGAGCAACCCAAGGTGGAGCCCTTCTTGCTCACTCGGTTCCTTGTGGAGGCTGAGTCTACGGGAATTCCTCTCACGCTCGCTTTGAACAAGTGCGAACTCGTCGATGAAGAGGTTGGCATTCTTTCTACGAGCTGAATTAAGGGCCAAACGAGTGATAGGAGGATCACCGGAGCAATTCATGTTGTGTGCATAAGCTACTAGATCACGGTTCATTTCACATTTCACTTGCGCTGGTTGATAATGTAGAGATTAGATGGAGAATTTAGATATATAGAAGTATCTGAAAGTCGTGTAGGCTTAGGGCTTTCATGTTCATTGCACTGGCCCATGACTGGTGAAGATGTCTCTGAAGTGTGAGAAAATCACAGAACCAGCGTTTCCTTTGTGATATTCTATGAGATGCAGATAGAGAGATAAAGACTGAGGCCTCAAGACATGATAAGTGGCATTTCCTTACACACCAGGGAAGGGCAAGTTACTGTTGACCGTTGTTTTTGTTTTGATGGAGGGAATTCAGTACTGTTAATATACGCAGGACTAGATTTGAAGTTTCAGTAATCCATTTCAGTTTGTGATATCTAATGGGTTTGGATATTCTAGGATAAGTTTTATCTTCTTTTTGTTGCTTCAGTTATTAAACTCACCGAATTGTTTCTGAAGTTGTATTGAAACCGCGGACAAGCAATAAGTATCATGACGTAGTATCGATAGTAAAAACTATGGTGTCATTGTTACCTCAGTCACCATCTATGAACCTATTCCTGGATTAGGCTTCACTTGCGATGACATGGGGGAGGATTATACTAGGAAAATTTAATTAGCCTAGAATACTGCCATTTCTTGAATGCTTACTCTTTCCTCTCTTTGCTGATGAATGGCTTCAATGAAGTTTGCAGACGTTGGTTGCCTGGAAGTCTAAGTTACGCAGTTGGGGCTATAGTCCGATTTTCTGCAGTGTTGAATCCAAAAAGGGACTTGACTCACTTGCATTTACCTTGAGAGACCAGACGACTGTGATTGTGGGTCCAAGTGGAGTCGGAAAGTCTAGCCTGATCAATGCTTTGAGAAGTAACAATCATCCTTCTGATGCAGCGGCTGATACCAATTGGTTTGAGCCTGTGGGTTCTCTAGTTCTTGTTGCGCTTGTGTTTATATATGATGGGATGAAGTAAACTCAACATTTTGACTCCTAGACATTCTCCCAACAGATTCTAGGCAGCAAATGGTATGAGGATCAGCGGGTAGGGGAAGTGTCTTCGAGAAGCGGAAGAGGAAAACATACTACACGCAATGTTTCTTTACTTCCATTATCAGATGGAGGATATCTTGCTGATACTCCTGGGTTTAACCAGCCAAGTCTACTAAAAGTCACCAAGCAATCTCTTGCGGAAGCCTTTCCAGAGGTGATGTCATCACCTCCTCACATTTCTTTTGGTGTTCTCTCTGTCTTCATGTTCATTTTGCTGAAATAATGACGTTGTAACTCACTTCAGATCAGGAAGAAGCTCAAAGCGAGTGAGCCAGCTAAGTGCTCATTCAGTAATTGTTTACATCTCGGTGAGCCAGGGTGCATACTAGAAGGAGAACATTTGGAGAGATATCCTTATTACTTCCAACTCCTTGACGAGATAAGAGTCAGAGAAGAGTTTCAACTGAGGACATTTGGGACGAAAAAGGAGAGCGATGTTAGGTATTTCTCGTGTGCTTTATGGTTACTTGATATGTATGCTTAGTATATTTCTGTTGATGACGAGTAGTTAACGGCATGTCATGCGAGATTTCGTGCGGTATTGAGACTGTCCTGCATTGAATGTGGTGATGTCCTACAGAGTAGAATGATTTTTGTCAGCTATTATGCCGTGGTACTGGTTTCAAGTAATCGGACAAAAATGCGGTGCTGTAAAATCGGCATATGGTATCAAAATGCGAGTGGGGCTGTTGAATATTATTTTTTCCTGCAGAAGAAACTTAGACAGACTTCCTGTAACGTCCATCTATCATGATGTTGCTGGCTCTAATGCATGTTTAATCAGCTGCCTGTGAAGCTCTTCTATTTTTTAATTTTTTTGGCCGGGTGAAGCTCCCTTTGCTATCATTAGCTAGTTCTTAGGAACGCACTTGTGGATCCGTCGTCTTTTCTTTTTTATCGATACTAATGATGCTCGTGTTTGCAGATACAAGATAGGAGATATGGGGGTCCAACAAGCAGAGCCTCGATTGGAGCCCAAGAAGCACAGAAGACAATCACGAAAGACGATCAACCAATCTATACTGGATGAGTTGGATGAGCTGGATGACGACAACGACCTATTAGATGACGAAAATGATCCCATTTTGAGAGCATTAAGAAATGAAAACAGCCAGTGAGCTAGCGCGGATTTATAAAACTGTAGATATTAAGCTTTTGTTTCGGCTTTAACCATGTTGTTCTTAGCTTGACCTTTCTACTCTGAAGATAAATGTCAAGAAGAAGACTCAATTTAGGGCTTAGAGGATTCTGAAGCGTGGTTGATGCGTCTCAATTCGATGATCCTTTCAAGTTTCGAGATTATGTAAAAGTGGCACCAGATCAAGAGAGACGCAATATGTACAGGACAATATGTCCAGACGGTTTTGTAGCTGCGAGTGTTTAGAGTTGTAATCTGATGATGTGCTCAGCAAACCTTTGACAATCGGAAAGATCTTACTTTGATTTGAGAGACCAGTGCCCCATCCTTGCGTCTTTTAAATAGAATTGGTGAGGTTAAACCTAAATAGTTTGATGAGTAATCAACTCAATGCATAAAGATTCCGACTCTCCCATTTAACCGTTTAATTATCAAACTTCTAGACATAATGAAGAAAATCAATAGCATAGAGCTTAATAACTTAAAAACATTTTCTTACTACGTATCGTAGGGCTTTACCCAAAAGAGGGAGCCCTTCCAGAAATTCTCAATGGCCAGGGGCTAGCCCAGGCCAAAGAGGGGGTTTGGAAATAGTTTTCAACCAGCAATAGACGCGCCTCGGTTAGTACCTCACTAGCTGCGTCATTGCCCCAAGCGCAAAGATAAGAACCTCAAGGCCCTCACCTGCCATTTTATAGCAAGTCATTCTCTCTCATCATCATTCCTAGTCGATGTGGGATAATAAATCCTTCTTGGATATATATTTCACTTGGCCCACCGGCCCAATCTGGCCTGCCTGGCCTTTCTATAATCTGTCAACTTTTTTATTTCTTCTACTTCAAAGCAACGGTTGGCGGGGTGACAAGCTAAGCTCCATCAAATCTTCTTCTCATCCACAAATTTTAATTAGATATGGGGAAATGTCACCAGTCTAGGCGGTTCAAGACTTGTTTGACTATCAGTTAAAAAACCTGTAACTAGACTACCTTGTGCCATTTGAGGTACTTGAATTACCTTTATTAGGAGTGTCAATGGGTCGGGTCGGTCAGGTTTCCATGCTACCCGACTCAACCCAAAACCATAAGAGGTGCGTGTTCTCACTGACCCAACCTGATCCTAAACGTGTATGACCTGAAGTGAAAACCCGGTCGGGTTGGGTTTTCGGGCTTTTTTCTCCTCTATATCATGTCATCATATTGATAACAATGTGTGGCTTCACAAACTTTAAGTATCTTTAAGCATGGCGAACAAGTAGATTAGTTCTACTTCAAAAGTTATTCTTTACCGAATGGCAATGTAAGTGGCACAAAGCAATCAAACAAGAAAAGAGCCGGAGAGCACTTATTGAAACAGCTTCCAAATCCCAAAGATAAAACAAAAAAAATAAATTGATACCAAAATTACCCTAAGCATCCACCATGAACCAAGCGCATAATGAACGAAAGCGCGTCATGTCATGATCGAACAAAAAAGCAATGGCAAGAACAAAAACCCAGAAAACTAGATAAAAAAAAACAGACAAAAAAGGGGCGTATAAGCAATGGGTTGTATGGTCAGCGTCGAGCGGAACAGGTCCGGCGATACAACGAGAATCATCATAGGAGACTCTAAGCCCACTCAGCTGAGAAGCGACGAATCCAATCTCGGATGAAACTTTGGTCTTAAGAGGCACAAGGGTGGTTTGAATGAACTAGGTCTTGCGAAATGGAGAGTGCAAGTGTTTCCTAACAACACTCCCAAAGCCATGGTCACCATTACCGATGGACGTTGTGTCGTCAAAAGGCAAAAGAAGAGAACGTAATTTTGATTACGCCAGCAACAAGCGGGAGACCGAGATGGCCTCAATTGAGGGGCGGTGAAGGTAGGAGACGATGGGTTTTTGGAAGGGGACGAATCGTTTCGCGAGAAAGAGAGTACTGCGAATTAATATCTACTTATCTAGGGTTTCAATTCAAACCGAAACATGTTACAATACCCAATTTATTACCGTCTACCATAACATAATGAGACCTGAATTGAAAATGTCGAAAATTTCGAGCCAATTTGAGTATGCGGTTCGATTTTGACACAAGTACCGCCAGGGTTTGATAGGGTTTGATTTTTCAATCATGACAAATTAATTCGTGCTTACTACAAATTAACAGATAGATATCCCATCAAGGAGATCAATGCGTTAGCTCATATGTTTTGGTTTTCGTAGCTACGCAACGCGTGTCAATTGTTTGGGCCCTCCAAGTCTTGTATATTACTGAAATGTTTGAATGGATATAAATGAAGAGAAGAGCTCCCCTATTTATACAAACACTCCTCTAACTACAACCGTTGATGGTTATTTCTCATCCATTGATGGGTATTGCTCATTACAACCATTGATGGGTATTTGATTTAGCGGTGGAGATTGTATCTCCCCATTTCCTATCGACCGACACTAGCTCTAGAATTCAGTACATGAGAAATCTCAGGACTGTGACATTCTCCACCATATTGTTAGTTCCTTGGAACTGCCGATTCTTCGTGTCGAGGATTAGTGAAGAAAACAATGATGCTGATTTTGATTGGGGCGATATTAAGAAGCTTCCATGTGTCAATGATTAGTGAAGAAAACAGCGATGCTGATTTTGATTTGAGGAAACAATTTAGTTTGAAGTACCCTGAACACGTACATAGCTCGCTTGACTGTCCTGACCAAGAACCTGGAAAATATTCAATAGAGCAAGCCCTGAGGACTAGGACATACTACGTATGGGGAAATAGTGTTCCTCACGTACCAAAGGGTGACAGCAAATCTCCTGACTACTACCATTGCAAATAGTTCAAAAGCAAAAACGAGGGCCGTCTCTCGAAAGAGTTTCCCGCGCCGCCTCAAGCTTGCAACTTCTTAGATTTGCTCGTTGCCAACAGAGTCTCCGGCTGCAAGACCAACATTGCATCTAAGAAAATGACTCGACAAGGCAACTTATATGCCGTTCACATTGTAAAAGATGGAACCACACTCTTACCTCCTTCCTCACGGGTTCTTCCTTTTCTGACAAAATCAACTCGATGTGGCAAGGAGACGACATATACGCTGTCAAAAATGAAGAGAGATAAGATTAGCAATAGTCGAATGAAGACGACAGTGACAAGGGCGCAACGTCTGATAACATACGGTTGATTCTTCCATGAGCCCTGTAGGCGCGGCGCCTCTGCTTCTGAGCCTGGTTCACCTGGATATGAGATACATAGAGCGCATCGACGTCCATACCCATCACCTGATGCAAAATTAGCCGGGTTCTATTAGTATAGCAGAACAAAATAAAACCCCAATCACAAGGACGAAATCTTGTTGCGACATACTCTCGGCATTCTTCAACAAATCAAGAATGAAACTAGCCGATTTCACCGGTCACCGCCCTTGTCCATTGGAGTGCCTGTTTTTTGCCCGAGCAGTCCTTCCGACGCCACGGCAAAATTGTCGGATGTGCTGGTGCTTGTTTGTGCACCAGCACATCCTCCAGGTACCTCTTCGCTTTGGCCAAAGACAGCTTTCTTATTGCAGAGGCAGTCTCTCGCGTTCTGAAAAATAATAAAAATGACCAAACCCTATCCATTACTAGAGCAACACCAAAAAACTTTTCTGGCGGTGGCTAACCTTCGTTCAATCACTGGATGCTAAATTAGAACTCCTCACGCGAGAGACTCGGGAGACACCCCATTGCCTGTTGAGGCGAAATGAAAGAACTCTCTGCACAGCACAACCCTTGCACTCTCTCATGTGCACGGAAACTCACATTGCGCAATTACATGACTAGTTAGATCAATGCATCTGTGCGGCCGTATCCGTCCCCGCTCACCACCGGAGCCACCGGTAATATAATAATAATATATTTATTTTTTAAAATTTTAATTAAAAAAATCTGACAAAAAAAAAAATAAAAAAAAAGAAAAACGTAACTAGACACTCATAACTCTCTGCTCTCTTATCTCTGGACACTCATTTGATGGGTACCCACTTGATTTATGGATGATGTGGTTAATAGAACCGATCATAGTATAAGAATTGTATGGAAAGTTATGTTTTTTTTTTGTTAGTTGATCCGATGTTGGTCCACATATATTTTTTATTTGTCCGAAGGGAAACTCATCGGAGTTAAATTCATTTAGCTACCAAAAGATGGATTCTACGGGGTTATCAGTATGTAGGCATTCAAACTCATCGAGCAACTCAACTCAACTCAGCTCGAGAATGTTGCAAAGTATTCCGGCGAGATAGTAGTAGACCTAACAAACGAGTGGGTTGGGTTGGGTTAGGTCATAAATTCTACGACCCAAATTGATCCATTTAACTCGTTTATGACCCATTTATTGCAATGCAAATTTCTCGACACATATCCGACCCAACTCATTTAACTAAATCTAGGAAAGCTTGTTTTGTATGATTTTTAAAAAAAATTGTATTGCTAAAACATTTTCATGCAATACAAATATAGTGGAAAATTTTTATATTTTTTTTGAAAAAATTGAGACTCCGTTTGTTTCGCTGAAAATGTGACATTCTTAGAAAATGTTTTCTAGGAAGTCATTTTCCAGGAAAATGACAATATTTTTCGATATTTGGCTGAAATCTAAAAATGAACTGGAATATCTTCCGTCGTTTGGTATGAAATTGATTTTTCTCTATGCACTCATCTTAATTATTTTATTTTATTAAAAAATCATATTTTAATTATTTCTTTTTTCTTTTCTTCTTTTCTTTTCCTTTTTTTTTTCTTTTTTCTTCTTCCTCCACTGGTGGCCGGCCATAGGCGAGAGACTGGCGAGACTCAAGCTCACCAGAGGCCTCGCGTCTGGTGAGCTTGAGTGTCGCCATAAGCCGGTGATGCTCGAATCTCACTAGGGGTTGGCGAGCTTGTCCCTCGCCTATGGCCGGCCACTGGAGGAGGAAGAAGAAAAAGAAAAAAAAGAAAAGAATAAAATAAAATAAAATAAAAGAATAAAAAATATTTAAAAAAATTCAGAAAATAAAAAATGACGTGTTTATGATTCACTTAAGCTTATTATGTAACTTATTTATGACCCATTTAAGCTTATTTTTAAAACTAAAGCCAACTTATTTATGACCCACAATCCTTGAATATGAGTGAATATATGGGTTCTTGACCCATTGTGCCACATTTACATATAGAACTTCAGTTCCTCACACTAGACTCAAGAGACGCATCATTGCCTATGGAGGCAAAATGCAATATCTACTTTACATTTTGGGCCTAGCCAGGTTTTTGGGTTATGAAGCCCGAAATGGCCTAGCACGACCTGAAACTTCTAATTTTCATAGTTTTTTATCCTGCATGAAAAAAAATGACATATTACAAGTGAACGAAATACCTCATTTAATTTAAAAAAATGAAAATAATTTCCGGGTCTAGCCAGTCTTGAATCGGGCAAGCCCGAAATATTCAGATCAGACCTAATTTCGGGCCGGGTTGCAGTAGAAGTTACGCCCGCCCGAAACATTTACACCTGTATTAGAGTCCCGGTGTCAAGTGAGAGTGGAGAGACCAAAGGAAGTGGCATGTTAATGAAGGAAGAGGCAAAGTATTGTGGGCCCCCACAAATTTTTTTTTTCCCAACAATCTCAGTCAAATGCATTGAGGATATTATAGTCAATGCACTCAAAAAAAGTCAAAATAACTATGGATTTAGCGCCTCCCAAGGTTGATAAGTAAACTCAAATATTGACTTATTTTTATATTTTGAATTATATTATAGATTGTGATAAAAAAAAGTAAAAGAAATTGCTTAAAAAAGCGTAAACAAACATATAGACACAGTTTATAAGCAATCACTTAGGCTTTATTTGTTTCGTGAAAAACGTGACGTTTCTGGAAAATGTTATCCAGGAAAGTAATAATATTTTCTGGTGTTTGGCTGATATCTGAAAATAAATTAAAAAATATTTTCCGCCATTTGGTATCTGATTTGATTTCTTGGAGAAAATTACCAAAAAAGTCGATTTTTTTTAATTTTTTTTTAATTATTCGAGCATTACTGCATAAGGGAAAAGAGAGCGTGACAGTGCTATTATATGACGGTCCTTCCTCCATCACATATTTCACAGTGCAAAATCGAGAAATTCTGGCAATCGGTTTTTCGATATATTCAAATATTCAAAAAGTTTGTCATGAGAGTCAAAAAAAGCTTTACATGCATGAACATAGAGGCCTAAAGTTATATACAGGTCGACCTGTTCATGCCTAGAAGAAAATAAATGCCAGTTCGGTTAATTAGTTTGAGAAAAGTGAGAACTCGCTATGGATTGGGTTTCGTTATTCGTTTTTCTTCGAGAGTAGAGGTTAAGAAGGGACAAACAACTCGTCAAGCTGTTGTAGATCGAGGAGAGGCTGTTGTAGAAGGACCTGCTACTTTACTTGCTTTTATTTGCAAAAGATAGTGTAAAAATTTGCTGCCATGCCGTTATTTCCCTATTTAGCTTTTTGTTTCCCTTTTTGAGCTAGTGATGGCCCCAACTTACTCAGTCCGTCGTCTTTTTTTTTTGGTATTGAAAGGGGCAAAGCCCAGAAATTACAATATAACTCGTCTAACGATACTTGAACCAACCTGATCTCCTATCAATAGAGGAATCAACCCTCTCAGTGGCCTATCTAGTACTAAGGTGTCATTTGCATCACAAGAATGAAAGACCCAATTTGCTAACCAATCAGCACATGAGTTAACTTCCCTAAAATTATGTAGCATTTTGACATTCTGAAAACACTTCAAAAGTTTTTGAATCTGAGAAATGAGTGTGTCGCCAAAGTGGAGAGCGGGGGATGATCTGTGAAGTAGTGAAATGGCGACTTGAGAGTCCACTTCCATAGTAAGTTTAGGTATGCCCATAGAAATTGCCATTTTAAGACCCAAAAGGATACTCCATAGTTCTGCTTTGAGCGAAGAGCACACTTCCACAGTTTGAGCAAATCCAGCGAGCCAGTTGCCGGATTCATTGCGCAGAAGACCACCTACTGAGGTGGGTCCCGGGTTGCCTTTAGAGGCCCCGTCAGAATTGAACTTGACCCAACTAGTCGGAGGGGTAGTCCAACCCACAAGCTTATCTCTTTTCTCCTTTTGAGAAGACAATCTGTGTTCTGCCGGTCGAGCCGAAACAATATCTTTGACATGGCCTAGAATCACGCACAAAGGTTCGCTGGTAAGGCAAAAATCCTTTTCAAATATTCGCATATTCCTCCGGTTCCAGAAATATCAACAAGCAATAGCAAAAACAAGTGACCAATTATCTCGAATCCTAGTTGCTGAACCAGATAAGTTTAACATCATCCATGGGAGTAGATCTCGGGTGAAGAACTCGCCCTGTGAACTGGTAGGTAGAATCTTCTGCCAAATCTTCTGGTGCAAGATGAGCGCGGTTCAGAGGCCCACCGTCAGTCCCACTAACGACAATTCGCTGCCATGCCATGCCAGCTCTTCCCTACTGAATAGTCACAACGACAACGGAAGAGCTTTTCATTCCGTGGGTGTACTTAGGGCCCGTTTGGTAACGTGCCAAACAAGAAAATTTCGTTCTTTTGTTCCCGTAAATAGTTTGGGAACGTAAATGCGTTTGGTAAACTTTTTGTGCCCGAGCACATTTTTTGCAAAAATTTGTGCCCATAAACAAGTTTGGAAGAGAAACAAGAAGTAAAAAAAGTTACTTCTTGTTTCAAGCACAATTTTGAGAATCGGCTTTTTTTCTTCTTTTTCTTTTTTGTTTTCTTCTTTTTGTGTTGCTCTTCTTGGGTGTGGCGGTCGCGCCGGCGGCCGGCGACCGGCCATACCTGTGGCCGGCGAGGGCGCCACGGCCTCGCCGCCGCCGGCGGAGGCGAGGGTCCCCCTTGCCGGCGAGGGCGAGGCGGCTCGCCGTGGATCGCGACGGCGAGGTCGGCCTCGCCTAGATCCGGCGAGGCCGAGCCTCGCCGTCGCGAACCACGGCGAGGTCGGCCTCGCCCGGATCCGGCGAGGTCGAGCCTCGCCGTCGCGACCCACGGCGAGGTCGGCTTCGCCGTGGGTCGCGACGGCGAGCTCGGCCTCGCCGGATGGGTGAGGCCGACCTCGCCGTCGCGACCCACCTGGCGAGGTGGCGGCGAGAGCAGGCGGCTAGGGCGGCGCGCGACGGGCCGACGCCACGGCCTATGGCCGGTCGCGGCGACCGCCATGGCCAAAGAAGGAAGGATAGAAAGAAAAAAAAAGAAAAAAATATTAAACAATTTAAAATATTATTAATAAAAAGAAATTTTGTGTAGTTACCAAACGTATTTTGTTCTTTTCTATCCCAGGAATAGAAATTTTGGACGATTACCAAAC